GCAAATCTTGGAACGCCCTTCCATCTCATGTCGTTTGTGCATCCACTATTGAATCTTTCTAGCAGAGACTCGATAAGACCTTGGCACACCTCACATTCGTACACTAAAGCAAACGGAAATTCACTGTAGCCTACATTCTCTATTATCTCCTACCCGGAACTCTGTGACTTCATTTTCGATGTGTAACGATCTATCTGTGTAAATATCCTATGGGACAAGAGAAGCACCAGCTTGTAAGCTATTCCCATAATAAAACCTTGAACAACAACAGTGAACCATTGACTCCCATTTGTTGTCCAACTCCAAAAATACGTTACGGCAGACATCGCCCCTTGTAAATGTCCCTCGGAAGAAGTGACCTGTAAAATACGTGAAAACCAATACCATTTGTCCAGTGGGTATGCATATCCAACTCCGAATGACCTCACGCCATTTTCACGCTTGACCCAGTACAATCCCCCCTGCCTGTCATTGCCACTCTTAACTTCCTATCTTGTACAGCCAAATTCCGATGGATATGGGTAGAATTTCCGGGAGTGTTACTCAGGTAACCCCATCCTCAAGTTATGAAAAATTTTGTCGACAACGTCTCGTATCAGTCCGAGTTAATGAGTCATTAACTGTTACGTTCTTCTCAGACGTACAATCGTTATGAGCGCCTCTTGCCCGGCCCACGAAAATGATACGGGAGAGGGAGAAGACGACTGAAAAACAACAGTCTGAGTGCAGTGAATTGATCATGACGCGGTTCTCAAATACAAGTGGGCGTACGGCAACGGCGTGATGCCGCATCAGTCAGATCTCGTCCTTGACACTTGGACTGGTCGATCGGACAACAGTTGTCTGATTCGTCTTTGTCATCCAACCCGGAATCGACTCGATTTGGGCCTCGCTAGCGTGCTTGTGGTGTGACGTGGAACCATGCGCGGCCTGACGGATTCTGTGAGCATTCTGTTTAGTTCCTCAAGGATCCGTACTTTGTTCACCTTTCATAAAGGATCTCGCAGACATCCTTAGGGCAGAGACATTATTATTCGCTGACGGCGCAAAACCATGGAGAACGGTACCAGCTCGTGGAGATTATAGAATATTTGAGGAAACGCTCGTTCCAAACGAACAATATCGAATTCAACGTTGAGCGATACAAGTTTGTAACATCGCGTCACAAGTGTCGCTTTCCATACGTACTTGGAAATCTGTCAATTCTGCGTGCTCTAACAAACGAGAAGAATCTGGGAATTAATGTTCTTGAGGATCCACACATCTTAACGCGTCACCAAGTCGGATTACTCAACCGGGTTTTGGGTCAGACAGTCGAGTTGAATAACGAGAAGACAACTTTATGCTAAGGCTAGTATCGCGTCGAGAAGAGTCATTTTTCGGAGAACAGCAACGGATAGCGGCAAATAAGATTCAACAGAATAAAACCTCTCATTTGGAACACATTATAATTCCGACAACCACGCAGGGTAATTGGTAAAATAGTTTGACGGTAGCCGCATATTTTCTTTGGTACAATGTCGAACGCACTAATACGTTGTGAGAAACAGCCAACCACAGCCATACCATATACTCAGAGATGTGAGTAGTGCCTCACAACACGATGGAGTGTACAACCTTGTAGGGGGGAGGGGTGGGGGTGGCGCCGCGTTGCCGAACGGATGCATAATTCTGCTGCGAAGTTAGTTCATTGTGCTGAATTTGGTTTGTGTGATGTGCTGCATTGTTGATTCACTCTTTGCATGGGCTAAGATGTAGCTGATCGGATGAGTGCTTTCGTGCCGTCTTGTTTGTCTTAGAAAATGTTTTTTAACGAGTATGGATACCCGTTTACATGTAATGGTAGTGAACATATTCTCGGGTTGTGTTTTGATAGTGTCCTCTGTATACATACAGGTAAAAATCTCAGACAGAATAAGATCAAGCCAAGTGTGTCTTCCTATCTACATGCCTTCCCTGTTTATTCAGATCTGTGTGTTTGCGCACGTTACCGGTGAGACCGTGTGAAAGAAATTCCTCACACATTGTTCGTTTACTGACTTGCCATTTGAAATTCATCATCCGGATTGAAATTGTTTTAGTACTCCATCCCCATACACACACACACACCAAGCGGGTGTACTGCCGGGATTTTCACCGTTTTCCCTCGGCCCCGAAGCATAATTATTCCGTATAATCCGAATCACATCCACAGTGGTACCCGTGTTGTCATTCTATTCCATTCAATCAGTGCATGTTTTGACCACATTCACGGTACACGAGTAACCGAGGTGCCCGAATTCACATGCGGATTGCTGCTTTCTCGAAATGATTAAATCCCACACACTGTGGACCTTCGTCCGGTTCACCTAACCACGCCTAAACTAGCTCGGCCCTATGTGGTTTGCCACTCCAAGTCCCGCGGGGCTTAGGTGATGAACACTGAACACTGAACAGCAGATCCTCGTAACTATGCGGTTCGCCCAGTCTGCTATTCATCGCACTTAGGTGTGTAATGAAAAAAAGATCTCCGTTGTCATTTGTGCCTCGAATAAAAAAAAAACGGTTCTGTTTGTTGAACTCCTAGCAGATTCGTTCGTGATGCGAACCGCACAGGTGGTTCTCTGGCTTGCTCAAATTTTTTCTTCCACCATGTACAAACACGTGATCGAATTGTATTAAACTTTTATTTAATGGTAGCATACAAAAACGAATTGTCCTCTGATTCGATCATTCCAATGGTGGATCGCCACCACCACTGCCGCCAGGACACTTGATTATAATCGGTGTCGATACCGCTTATTTGCCAATTGACACATCTGGTTTATATTTGCCGATTCAGATCAGTCGTAATCACGAGGCACGTGATCGGTTACCAATGCATAACGTTTGTTTTGGCTTAGCTGACACATTTTTCGAGTCCCTCGAATCTCAGTGTGCATTTAAAGGCTGTTAGTTTGATGAGTGAGGAAAGCTCATTCTTTTGGATACCGCAATGTGGATCATATTCCCGTTCGGCGAATGGGAAGTGGGGGGCGAGGTACTGGTTCATAGATCCAAAAATGAAAGAAGAAGTAAGTTTACTCTTCACCACTCTCCTTCCGTTGTCGGTTCAATCCGCCTCGGAGTTACCTCCTCCATCAGCTGGTCTCGAATTTTCACTTTGCATGCACTACACCTGCCTCGATATTGCACCTCATCTCATATCACATACCTCAGTCAAATTCCAAGATGAAATGCCAGTGTTTCGCCGAACCGGAGATTTGCTATTCGTCTTCCAAATTTGATGGAAGAAAACACCTCTGCCACAAGAAGACAGTGAGTAGTGTTTCTTCAGTAAATGGTCGTACGGGAGCGTTTCAAGAAGTTTGAAGGGTGGGAAGGGTGACCAGCCACAATCCTAAACACCCACCTTAGACCATACCGAGTCTCCTGAAGTATATCACAATGTGCACCAACGCACCGATCGGGTTGAACAAGAAGTAAAGCACTATCCCCGCACTGATATATTTCTGAGACATCTCCAATTCGTGTCTATATTTCTCTCAGCTTTTCAATTGTTCCCTGTTTATTGCTCTATGAACCAACCAATAGTTCAGGCAAGATGAAAGACATTAGGTGCACGATTAAGTGACACTATTGAACTTCGTCCATTTGTTGCAATTGTTATCCTCAGGTTTTTTATTCATCACGTTCTCTCACACACTCGTGGTTTTCCAAATCCCGGTTCTTCTTATTCCCCAAGGCATTCGAATGCTTGACGGTTCCATCACCGATCGGATTGAGGCGCAGACACTGAGCTTTCGCCGGGATCACATTGACATATATTCCGGTAGTTGGGGTCCAGAAGACACCGGGAAAGTGTACGAGGGTCCCGGGGTACTCGCCCAGTCCGCATTCCAACGTGGTGTGATAACGGTAGGTGCTTTTATCTTCCATGTTCGCTGTATTTTCTCCCTCGCTTTCACTGTACTTTTCCGAATGTCAACAAGGTTTCAACGCGACGGTTTGTTTCGGCATCTGGCACACATGCTTGAAGACCGGTGGAACGATATCGCCCCACGTCACTCGACCAATGTGACCGACAATTACGTTCTCCTTCAGCTGACCAAAGCCTATCTGATTGAAAGATTGTTTATCGTCAATTAAGGTCCAACACATTTATTTCCCCTCATGACGTGAGAAAACCTTGAATTGGAGTACCAAAGTCCCCTTTTTCGAGCCGAATTCATTTATTTGCTTCGTGAATATAACGGAGAAACATATATATATATATATTATTTATTTCACACAACGGTCCGCGTGCCAAACAAATTGTAGTATACTAATATTTATAAAAAAGCAAAATGTTCAATGATTTGCATGTGGGCCGAATGCTGCCAGGTTGTCCAGGCCAATTCACCACGGTCTTCGATTAGCCATAGCCTGACTCGGCAGGCAGCGGGGCGGGGTTTGAAAATGGTAATCCACTCTGGGCCGGTATCCAGTAC